CACGAGTTATCACAAAAATAAACAAAATGCAGTATTAAAGGGTTTTGAACAAGTTTAAGAATTGGTACATTAAAATACTACTAAAGGAAGTCAGACTCTACCGAAATTTAATTTAGTCAAGGAAGACAATGCTTTCCTATGATCCATCCTTTGGTACTTCTGTCGATAAGAGAATACTGGGCTGAATGGTCCAGGGATCTAACCCAGTAGGATTAGTTCCCATATTCTTATGTCTCTACTTAGTTAATCACATCAACTCCCATATGAAACCAAATCAAAAACACGTGATCAATTTGAATAAAATGCCTTGTAATCAGAAACGCCTTGACCAGAGCTCTAAGTAAAATGTGAAGTATGGGAATATGTTTCAGTATACAAGTGTCAGTTTTTGTTTTTGTTTTTGTTTTTTGCGGTACGCGGGCCTCTCACTGCTGTGGCCTCTCCCGTTGCAGAGCACAGGCTCCGGACGCGCAGGCCCAGCAGCCATGGCTCACGGGCCCATCCGCTCCGCGGCACATGGGATCTTCCCGGACCGGGGCACGAACCCGTGTCGCCTGCATCAGCAGGCGAACTCTCAACCACTGCGCCACCAGGGAAGCCCCAAGTGTCAGTTTTGATGACCCTTCCCACTGCTAGCTGATTAACTCATAGGAACCCCCAGAATTCTGGCCACTAATTTAACCTGATCCTGACTCTGGTTTTTGTCTGTGAAAATTCAGGACCTGAAATCTCTGACTCAGGCCTAAGGTGACGATACTTCTCATCCAGCATGGAGGGAACCAAAGCTTCCCACGTGCACGTTTATTACCAGGATAATTTTTCTACAAGTGCCTTTGGCCTTAGAAGATTTATTAATCCAGTTATCAAGATATCATTGTCCCCTATTACATCAACTCTGGTCTAAAAAAATTAAGGCCTGTCCCATAGGCAGGCTTCTCTAGATTTGGATCAAACCTTTCTAACCAGAAGGGGTATTTTGAGTAACAAAACAGCTCATTTTTGTTTCCCTTCAATTTGATGTGGCCAAGTTATCTGGCTCCAAATGGAACTAACTCAAATGCAGCCACAGCAAGAACGGAGTTTATGAAGCTTTCATCTGTATCGGTTTACATAAACAACTTGCTTCAAGGACGTCTTGGAATTGTTTATATGATAAATCAAAGTTGTTTCGTGTTTATCTGGGGGAAAAAAATAGAGCCACCTCAACACGTAAGAAAAGTTTGCAACGGCCAAAAGGGTGTGAGTTTAAAGACACTGTTGCGTGTCATAAGGCCAAAACCCCTTTTACCCAGAGGGTAAGCCACCTGGATTGTGCACACCCATGGTCAGTTTCTCCAGTTCTGTGTATGATGAGGGGGTTGTGACATATAACTTCTGAAGTCCCTTCCAGCTCAGGGAGGCTGTCATTTTTGAAAAAACAGACGCCTGCCTTTTCAATACTTTTCCAGCGTAAAACCAAGCAGTTTGGGCCCACATGTGAAATTTTTCATTTTGTAATTAAGAAACCCCCCTTGGGTCTGCCCCCAGAGGGGTGGGCCGTTCCCTATGGAGGTGGAGTCGACACAAGCGCACCGCGCTTCCACCCAGGGTGTCAGCGCGGTTGCGGGGTTTGGGGGCAGAGGGCGGTGTGACGGCACCAGGTCACAATGGCAGCAGAGGCTTAAAGGTGGCCCCACGGGGTGGTTTAGGTGGAGGATCAGAAGAAGGCGGGCAGTTGAGCATCTCGGCTCAGGTCAAGGGATGCGAAGGTGAACGGGCCTGTCTACGAGGCTAGGGGAGGCCCCTCCCGAGTGCGCCACCACATCTGGCTCGGTGCCCTCGGATGCGCGCAGTCTGCATCCAGACCCCAGCTGGCTGCAAAGGGCCGAAGGGAGGGTAATCTGCGCCCCCTTCCCTTCTGAGAGCCCCCTACCCGGGGGCTGTGGAGCAGAAGTGGGGCCTGCGCAGACTGTGGCTCAGCCCCCTGCCGGCCGGGCCTGCGGAACACAGGAGGCCCGCGAGATGCGGAGCCATGCAGAGCTGTCTTGATAAATGATGGCCGTGCTGCGCATCCGCGCGTCTGCCTTGCCTTCTTACCCAGGGGAAAGCAGCGTGCAGTGAGCGTGCTTACTACCTGCACAAGGGAGCGCGTGGTAATTCAAGTTCGCAGCGATCTTTCAGAGCGACTTCAACCAGACCAGCAAAAAGAGAAGTGATCCACGGACACGCCAAGTGCAAATGGTGACCGGGATCCACCAGCCCCAGCCTCTCATTACCTGATGCTCTGCTCCTGGCCCAACCAGCTGCAAGGGGCGCGCCAGGTGTGGCGAGACACCCGGGAAAGAGGCCCGGGCCTACCAAGACCTTGGAGCTAACCAGGCAGCTTCCCTTGAAGTTTGTAAACACAGCCATCCACAGTCAAGACACACAACAGCGCCGCCTGAAACTAGACACTGTCCACGCTTTTCACCTTCAGCTGTGTCCCCTTCAGTTGCAAGAGATGGCTCTGCTCACTGGAAAAACCTTGTTTAGCCCCCAAGACCATCAGTGGAGGCTTACAGTTGAACCCAGGCCATCCCAGCTGAGGAACATAAGGGACTTACCTGTGTTTGAGGCCAAGCCCAGAGGCCACGGAGCTCCAGGGAGAAGGAGATCACCCCCAGGTCAGCATCAGGAGCCTTCCCGTGGTGTTTGGGGCCACCTCCTCTGTTATGCTGAAGGCAAAGGAATCCAATATGCCTCCTGCACGTCCTGTGTTCATGGAAGCACACTCTCTCTCCCAATCACAACACCCGCAGTGCCTGACAAAGGGGCAGCGGTGTTAATGACATCAAATCCAAGGTGGCAGAGGTGAGCAGGTGGAGGCCACTCCTTTATTCTTATCCTTCTGGTAATGACCTTTGCAAAGTACAGAGCATGCACTGACTTTCCAAGGCTTTATAATGTTGTCCAAGATATAGATATTAATAATATAAACATAAACAAGGGTGCCATGAAATATGTAAGAAAAGAAAATCGTTTTTCAACAATGGGTGGGAGAGAGGTTGTGAAGTAGTGGCTACGGAGTACATAAGAAAATTATGAATCATTCTGTTGTTTTGAGAGGGGATCTAAATTGGGAAACAGATAAACTTATCTCCCTCCCCTCTTAATCAATGACTGGAAGCTAGGTGGTAGGAGTAGAACGGTATCCATATTTCAGGAAAGGAAATAAAAGGTCTCATTGCCTGAAGATACCAAATAATTGCTTCTTTCTCACAGTATTGCCTTGTCCTAGCCTTGGGTAGCTTGTAGGGGAAAAAGTCTTTTTACCTGCTCTGGTTTTATACACCACGAGAATGAGAGGTTCACGAGGTTCACATGTCTGGTGTTAGATTTAAAATTAAGTTAAATTTAATCATTAATTTAATAATTAATTATTAAAATGAAATATTCTCTGTTGCCTTGATATGTGGTGAGATTGGGAGGGCCCTGCATGTCCTAATAGGAAGTTCCCCTCCCCACTCTGCTCCTATGGACAAGGTCCCAGCCAAGTAAGCCTCCAAATCAAGGAAACCGAAGGCAGATCCTACTTCACCTGGAGTAGTGAGTTTCAGTTCCCTGCCAGCTGGTAGAATGACTCAAACAGGCCAATCACATCCTCCACAGGAACCAGATGTCACCTCACTCTCTTAACACTACAGGTTCACTTTGCTCCTGGGTGGCTCTGCATGGCATGCAGTGTCCTCTCCTGGGCTGGGACGCACTGCCGTGGATCTCACCTGTCCAGTGTTGGTGTCATGTTTGGCTATCCCAGGAACCCTTGGGCAGGAATCCCTCCCTCTCCGATGGGATGAACAGGAGTCGATTAAACTATGTTTTATCCACTGAAATAGGATCTTTGTTAAAATAAAAAAAAAAAGTCGGTATGTTTAAATAAAATAAGGCTGTGTGTGATTTTAGAAAGCATAGGAAAGCAAGTATTTTTTCACCAATAACAGGACAGCTAGAAAAAGTGATCTCCCTGGATATTTTCTTTTTATCATAGCCTGTCCTTGTGAGAGACTGAGAGTAAAAGTATAAGTGGTTGGCCAGCCATACAGTGTCGTGGACAGCACAGATTATCATAACAGCAGTGACTCCGGAAATTAGTTAGTGCTGGATAAAGGAGAGAGCCATTGTTTCCCAGGAAGCAAACTAGACAAATACAAGAAACAAGGCCTCCCACCAATTTATTTATGTGTGGGTTAGGAGTGTGATTAACACCCATTGTTTACCTGATCAAATGTAAGAGCTAAGCTCCCAGGTATCCTGCAGGACAGCAGACAAGAGGGCTCTAGGAGAAAGGTATGAGTGAGAAAGAAGGGGAAAGAGGGGAGGTATTATCATCAAGTTAGTTCTGACCCACGGTGCACATGCCAATCAGGGGCACAGGGACCCTCCATGCTTTCTACCCAGGGATGATTTCCTCCCCTAGTGTCAAGGGCCAAGGCAGTGAAGGCCAGTGCAGGCCGCATAAAGAAAAATTAAAAAATTAAAAATAGAACTACCATATGATCCAGTAATTCCATTTCTGGGTATTTATCTAAAGAAAATGAAAACACTAATTCGAAAAGATACATGCACCCCAATGTTCACAGCAGCATTATTTACAATAGCCAAGATATGGAAGCAGCCTAAGTGTCCGTCCACAGATGAATGGATAAAGAAGATGTGGTACGTGTATACAATGGACTATTACTCGGCCACAAAAAAGAATGAAATTTTGCCATTTGCAACCATGTGGATGGACCTGGACCTCAGCAAAATAAGTCAGACAGAGAAAGACACTTATATGTGGAATCTAAAAAATAAAATGAATGAATATAACAAAACAGAAACAGACTCCCAGATACAGAGAACAAATCAGTGGTTTGAGAGGGGAGAGGGATGGGGGGAGGGGCAAGAGGTACAAACTATTAGGTATAAAAGAAGTAAGATACAAGGATGTAATGTACAGCACAGGGAATATAGCCAATATTTTATGATAACTTTGAACAGAGTATAATCTATAAAAATACCAAATCACTAAGTTGTATACCTGAAACTAATATAATATTGTAAATCAATATACCTCAATAAATAAAAAAGATGATGTTACACACTAATGTAGTCCTGGCAAGTAGCAGAGAGGTGTGGTGAGCTCCAAGGACAAAGAACAGGTAAACTCAAAGGGCCAATATTGCCAGAACAAAGAGTTACAGGACTCATCACTGTTCCAATGTGACCACTGCAATGTCCCAGAGCCCTCCCCAGCAGCATGCCCTGTCCCTTTCCCCTCCCATATAAGGAAAGACATTTACCGTGTTTTTCTCCCGCTCAGCACACTGAAAGTATACACACTCTGCCCAGTCAGCAGATGACTTACAGGTTCCCTGGCTATAAAAACAGACAAGCAACCCATGCTCACTGTCAACTTTCCCAGGCTACCAGGAAGTCGGCCCGCTGTTCTTGCAGCGACCCTTCTCTTTAATAAACTCTATCTTCCTTACATTCTGCCTTGTGTCTGGAAATTCTTTTCCAAGCCGCGCTTGGACCACGACATTTTGGTGGCCCATACAGGAATATCTCCTGGGGCGATCTCCTCCCCCACCTCCTCTCCTCATTCCGTAGGACCCTCTGTGAACAGGCAAGTTGCCGGGGAAACAACAGAGGACTCTGGCCAGAGCCACACCCCGGTGTGTTCCGAAGGCTCCACGGCTCACTTCGCCCCAGTAACTGCCGCCCAGAACGGGTGAGGGTCCCTCTGTCTTCCTTCTGACTGCAGACTGGGCCGATTGGTATCGTGCGGGCATGGGTCAGGCATTTAAAAGCCATCAGGGAGCCTGCCGCTTGAAAACTCCCGTGAAGGATAAGGGGGTCTCAGAACAGACCGGACTGTTAGAGCGTCTGCCCCCAGCAAGGCAACTTCCGTGCACCGTGAGGCACATATTGGTTCATGCAGAACGCTGAGCCCCCTCCCCTTGGCCGCCGCCTTCCCGGCAGGACTAGGAGGCCGATTCCTCAGCCTGTCTCCTCTGTTACGTTCACCTTTTTCTCGGTCCGGATTGACTTACAGGAGCCTAGGCGTTGCCTCTGAGCCATCCCAGGAGTGCCTTTCACGTTTCAGGGAATCGCCAAACGGTGAGCCACCCGGTGGGTCCCGGGAATCTCTCTTTTCTTTCCTTTCTCTGCTCGAGTCTCACGGTTCCTTAGTCGCATGGTTTGTGCCTTAGTCGCACGCTCAGGGGTCACCTCTCACGGTCGGATGCGATTGTTGGGACAGTCGGCCCATTTTGTGCCTTAGTCGCACGGAGAGGTCACCAGGACAAAGGGGACGCCTCTCTGTCAGCCGGTGACTCTCAGTACGCCCATTCTACAGCGTACAGGCTAAGAATGGGTTCTGGTTCGTCTCGGGAGCCTCCCTCGGACTCACCCCTCGGCTGTATCCTCAGGAACTGGGAAAATTTGACCCTGAAAATCTCAAAAAGAAGAGGCTCATTTTCTTTTGTAACACGGCTTGGCCCCAGTATAAAGTGGGGGACCAAGAACAATGACCTCTTAATGGCACACTAAATTATAACACGATCCTCCAACTTCATCTCTTTTGCCGGGAACAAGGAAAGGACTCAGAGGTTCCTTATGTCCAGACCTTTATGGCCCTTAGTCAGAATCCGGATCTGAGGGACTCATGCCGCCTGTGTCTTTCTGTTGCCGCCTTATCCCCCCCGACCCTCTCTGTCTCCCTCTCCATCAGATCTCCTAGACGACCCTCTACTCGACCTTTCCTGTCCCCCACCCCATCAACCCTCATTGCTTCAGCCCCTGCCCCCCCTCAACCCACAGCTCCCCATCAGTCACCCCCTTATCAGGGAGAAAGCCCCCTCTCCCCTCCCCACACAAGGTCGTGGACTGCCCAACGCCAGGAAACAGACTCTAATATGCTTCCCTTAAGGGAAGTAGTAAATGGAGACATGGGCACTATTGGAGTCCATGTTCCCTTTCCCATGTCTGACGTTTCCCAAATTCAAAACAAGTTAGGTTCCTTCCGTCAGGATCCCACCACTTTTATTAAGGAATTTCAGGCCCTCACTATAGCCTTTGACCCGACCTGGTGAGACATTCATGTGTAGTCCTGACCACCTGTTGTACTCATGAAGAGAAAAACAGGATATGGGCATTAGCCCAAGCTTGGGCAAGACGAGGCACAGCTCTGTCTCCAAAACCCGGATGGTTGGGGACCCATTTGGGGCTGGTTTAATGACTCTGTGTAACTACACCCTCAATTTTAATCAGACTAGCCTGGAGTGGGATCCCTGGTCAGAGGAAAATAAATATAATGTACATGAAGGTCATTTCACTTTGTGTTGGGGAAATTCAAGGAGAGATGCGACTAATAAATATATTAACGAAGACCATATCCCCATGAACAGCTCGGCCCTGGGAACTAAATACGTGGGGGTCAGTGTGAGCACCGGACACTTACTTAGTTTAACCTCCCAGCAAGATTCTCCTCCAAAATATAACATAATTCAGCTACATTCAGAAATTTGTTATGCCAATCCCCCGTCATACTCATCATCAGTCAGAGCCCGAATTCTCCCCTTTAGGTATAGATGATTACTTCCTTGGAGTTTGGCCTGCCCAATATAATCCTAGGCCATGGGACCCTAGTCTATTTCCAGAGGAAAACTCCCAAAAGGTCAGGGCTTGGCTCTGGGGACCCACAGCAGGGGAATCCTTAAGGGGCACTGGATTTTCATCTCTACGTGGTAACGGGGTCTATCTGGATCTTCCCACACTTTGGAGGGGCTCCTGTACAATTATTGCTGCAGTCCCAGAGGCTACCATTATGACTACAAAGGATTTAGCTTCCTCAGGAGGCATTCCCAACCTTGCGTCCTTCCTCGAGGAGGCCTTAAGACCTGCCCGGGAGAGACGAAAACAAACCACTGATTAAGGGGGACGTGCTTATGATAACCCAATTCTTGATCGGCCCCAAAATAATACACAGTGTCTTCAGAGGGCTCTTCTGGTTTGCAGGCACACCCCTTAGGGAGGAGCGTTCTCCATCTCACCATCATGGTCCAGGAACCTTGGAAGGCAGCGGTAGCAGCCACCGAGGAACAGCAGTCAGCCCCAGGCTCTCTGGCCGAGGGGGTTTTACAAAATAGGAGGGCCCTTAATGTTATAACAGCTGAGGCGGGGGTGTCTCTGTCCTACTAAATGAGACATGCTGCTTCTATATTAATACCTCCGGCCACATTGACGAAGACCTTCAGATTCTAAAGAAAAACATCAAATGAATAGAAGATTTAAAAGAGAGAGCAGGACAGGGCCCCAGCTGGCTTTCCAGCCTCGTCTCCTCTGTGGGGATCCAGATATGGACACGGCTATTGCCCTTGCTGGGACCATTAATCCTGATAGCCTTTGTTTCGTTGTTTGACCCCTGCATTATTAACACATTATCTAAGTTCATCTCCCAACAGGTTCAAAAGATTTAATTCCAGATGGCGCTATAACAAGGGTACCAGCCAGTTGGCACATGGACTACATTGGAAGAAGCCGCCTTATCATTCTGTGGGCTCTCATCCCCTCTGTAAATATACCCTGACAGAGAATGGGCATTGGGACCCAGGGCCCCTACGACACCCCTGCCCAGCAGGAAGCAGCCAGAGAGATTGTCGCCCCTTCTCCTTACAAAAAGGGTTCCTGAATGCCAGAGAAGGAGCTAGGCAGGTAGGTAGACATGAGCAGGGTATCCAATAGGGCCAAAGAATTGGCCCTGTAAATAAGAAGAGGGGGGAATGTGGTGTGCTCCAAGGACAAAGAACAAGGTAAACTCAAAGGGACGATATTGCCTGAACAAAGAGTTACAGGGCTCCTATCGCTCTGTCACACTGTGACCACTGCAATGTCCCAGAGCTCTCCCAAGCAGCATGCCCTGTCCCTTTCCCATCCCATATAAGGAAAGACATTTGCCGTGTTTTTCTCCCGCTCAGCACACTGAAAGTATACACACTCTGCCCAGTCAGCAGATGACTTACAGGTTCCCTGGCTATAAAAATAGACAAGCAACCCATGCTCATTGTCGACTTTCCCTGGCTACCAGGAAGTCGGCCCGCTGTTGTTTCAGCGACCCTTCTCTTTAATAAACTCTATCTCCCTTACTTTGTGCCTTGTGTCGGGAAATTCTTTTCCATCCCGTGCTCGGACCACGACAGGAGGCCTTTGACCTCCTGATGGCAGCACTGTGGTTGGGTGGCTGCCTCTGCTCGTGTTGTGACGGGTACCTTCAGAGTGCTCCCCTAAGTGGACCACACAGCCTTGCCTGCACATCATCAAATGCACTTGGGTGGTCCATTATCATAGTGGCTGCCATTTATTGGCTACTATGTGCCACACACTTGTGCATTATCTCCTTTCATTTGCTAAACAGTTTTTTGAGATAGGCACTATTATCCATATTTTACCAATGAGAAAACTTATTAAGTAACTTCTTCAAAGTTGCACAGTTAATAAGAGGTACAGCCTAGATTCAAACCTAGAGCCAAGGTTCGTAATAGCAACCAGGATGTGTCTGGACATTTCTGGGGAGAAGAGACTACAGAAGGGGGCTCCTTCGGACAATCAACTCCAACTGTGATGCTAATAAAGAGAAGTCACGGGTTTCATACAAACACAGATAATTTTGTTTTAGAGGCAAAAAAAAAAAAAAAAATCAACCAGGTGTCCCATTAGCATACACCGTTAGTGTCTAGTTGGAACACAGATGGATCCCTGTAATAGGAAGTGACGATCCAGTTAAAGAAGATGAAATAAATGCATATCCATATTGTGTATTGTGATGCTGCTCTCCAAAGAGCTTGCAACTTATTGTACAAATTTATTGAGGGAGGATTTTGGGTTGTATATAAAGCACAATCCAAAACACGCATACTCCGAAGGGCACTAGTAGCCAGCGCTGCATTGGTTGTATATTTGTTTCTCCTTTCCTTACATAAGCGCGTTTACACACCGTCAATACGCAGAGCAGTGGCCAGACGACGCTGTGCTAACTGATGGGAACAGACAAGTTCTGCCGAGCTCAGCACTTCAGCACAGCGCTGCCTTCTGAAAGTATCTTGTCATGAGAAATGCTCACCTTGAGAACACACCTCCTAGAGATGTATAGTCGGTTCATTTACTTTTAGTGCTTCTTTTGGGTTGGGAGGAGCTTGTCTTTAATTTCCATTTATGGTTAGGTTTTGATTTGAGGAATGGTAAATCCTTCAAAGGCTAAAAAACTGACCTGGCTGAATACCTGGTCACCTTCCTAAAGGTCTCTTGTAAGAATTCTTTGTTAGGAAGTATTTCAGATGTAATGATTTATAATGGCATTTACAGAGCTTAATGTTAGTTCTGAAGGATTCACTTGTAACTTACGCAGATTTGAGTTACATTCGTGCTAATTGTCTTAGTTCAGAAAAGTGTTTATATAGACATTAAATCACTGTGTTTTGGGAGACACTGTCTTCCATTAGACCTGCCTGTGCTTAGACCACATTACTTCAGTCTCCCTCAGCTCTTATTTTAATTAGTGATTATGTACACCCCATAAGTATATAATTATCCGTACATATCTGCTCTACAGCCTCTAATTTGATTTGACTCTTTTTTGTTTTATTACATTGAAAATCTTCTTTTTAGGATAGATATGTCTTCCTCCTCCACAAGCCCCAAAACTCCTAGCAGAATACTCTGAACACATGCACACACACACACACACACACACACACACCCCAGGATTTTGTCTGACAACAAGAGTTCCAAGTCAGTTAGTGAGTTTTAAGTCTTGTAGCTTTGGAAGTACCTCATAGGAATCAAACCTAAATGATTCCTCCCAGATACAAGCCACCTCTTGGGTGGTTTCTTGTCTTCCAATTCCTTTTTTATGTAATCAAATGGCCACACACTCCTCTGAGAGCCCATGTTAGAAGGAAATGCACCATCTACACGAGCGTTCATCTGTAAAAGATCTTACTGTACCCAGAGGCTAAAGCGAGTTTAAATGTACGTCCTATTTCTGTGTTATTTACCTCCTTTCTTATTCACTTTTTTTCAGCCTTTTCACTTAGATCTATCGGTATTATTCAATACTTCATTTTCCCAAGCCCATGTCTTCAAGTATTTCTAGAGCTCTTTTGTGTCCATCACTTACCTTATTTATAAAAATCAAATATGTTAAAGTCTGAACTTCTCTAATGGTTAAATTGGAGACAGATTATTTTCCATGGCAAAGGATTCTTCACTTTACAAACGGGACCAAGGACCTCGCATCTCTTCTTTGTATAAACATTATTGAGCACACCTGCAAGATGAAAAGAGTGCCGTGGATGGATGGTGGTGATGATAATACAATAATGTGAATGTACTTAATGCCACTCGACTGTACACGGAAAAGTGGTGAAGATGGTAAAGGCTACGTTAGGTGTACTTTACCACAATTGAAAAACGTATATTATTGAGCATCTGCTGTGGGCCTGCACTGTGCTCAATGCTGTGGCCATGGCACTGAGTGAGACAGATACTGTCACTGCCCACGCGTCCTGGTCTAGTGGGACAGTACAGTCTACTGACCAGGTAATGCTTCCCATGTGGCACCGTGCTGTGTAAGATATGTCACTGTAACTGAAAATCTGGCAGTGGGCACCTAATTTACCTACAGGAGCTCACAGAACGCCTAATATCGAGAGGTGATGTTAACATGAGATGGGTTTGGCCATTTCAAGTCGGCAGAGAAGGGCTTCAGTGTTGAGGGATCAGCCTGGGCAAAGGGTTATGAGGTCAGAAATAATTCAGTGTGTTTGAGCAACTAAAGGAAGGCCTGGTGTGGCTGAACAAAATTCTTGGGAGCAGAGAAAAGGGTGGAATGACAAGAAGTTGGAGAGAAGCCAGCATCCTGATCATTCAGATAAAAAAGATTGGATTTTACTTCAGGTAAAAGGAAAAAGCCACTGAGAGGTTTTAAGCAGGGGGTTGACCTGGTCTTATTTACATTTTAAACAGACCACTCGGACTGCAGTGTAGAGGCTGGGTTGAAGGGGAAAGAGTAGAAGCAGAGAGAATACTTTGAGCACCTCCCACTACTGCATCTAAAACTGTAATTAAACCTAAAAATACAACAGAAATTATATTTTTTAAGGGGTACCTTTTAGGTGGACTAAATGCAAAATACATCTGTTAGTGCTGGTTTCTTTTGTTATAGGAATCTAAATTTTTTCTTTGACTTTTTTCTCGGCCAGTACACTTTAATTTGCTTTTCCTTGTATTTTTCCTGAATATATAGTGAATGATTTTTGACGAATAAGATAGTTTACAATAAAGCTATTTGTAATCTGTCCAACATTACTCATAAATAATGTATTACCATTGCTGTTATTTAAATATCAGATGATAAAGATAATCTAAACAAGATTTCACTTGCTGAAAAGATATTCCTAAATTATTGATTGTTGTCTTACCCTCAGAGGTTGATATTGTCTTTCGAGGGGCATCCTCTTTGATCCATCTTATTTGAACCATCTAGTTCTTCCCCAGCTGATGGACTCTGGAGTCCAAAGAGGAGGGTCCTGGGGAAGGAGCACATCTCTGGAGTGGGCCACATACTTCAAGAGATGTCTTGTTTCAACACTAAAAAATTAAAACTCTTGAATCACCAAAAACCAAGGATTGGCAGAAGACACACACTGAATGAGGGCAGAGTTCCCATTACCAACAGTGATGATGAAGTCACATTGATAAAATGTACCAAGGCATTCCTGGCCACATTGCATCCTTAGTCTTCACTTCATGAAGCAGCAGCCCTCTAAAATACCTGGCACATAGTAAGTGCTCAGTAAATGGAGGCCATTATTTTCTTATTACTCCAAAAGTTTTATATATATGTGTGTGTATATATATTTATGTATTTTTTTGATACTTAAAGAAGATACTTTATAACTGTGCCTACTGCATTACTCAAAACCTTCATGGGCTGTTCAAACTAGAAAACGGGACTTTGTGTCCCTACCCTCAGGGTGGTGATTTGAGAGGTCATCTAAGCACCATCATCCTACCTGCAGAATTCCCACACACTTTTCCACGGCTTGCCGTCCTCATCCTCTGCTCCGTGTCACTCTATGACTATCTGGATCCAGCAACTATATCCAGAAAATATATCCAGAAATAATTGAGAAGCAAGGGTGTAGAAGGAGGAAAGTGTATATTGGTTCAAGGATATTAACTGCTGAAGCAAATAAACCCTAACATTTCAGTTAACGTAATGGAAGTTTTTTCTTTTCTCACACAATAGTCTAACTTGAGTCAGAAGATAGTGATGAGTAGGTGGGGCTGGGTCTGCTCCACACAGTCATTCAGGGATCCAACTTCCTAGAGGCCCTGCCCTCTTACACATGTGGCTTCTTCGGGAGGGAGGGAGGGGGAAATGGTGGGTTGTTGTTCAACAGGTAAGAAGTTAGTCATACAAGAGGAATGAGTTCTAGAGATCTGTGGTGTAACGTAGTGCCCCTTGTTAACAATATGCTATTGTGCACTTTGAAATATATTAAGGAGGTAGAACTCATGTTGTGTTCTTATGACAGTTTCTAATCCCAAACAATAGAAATAGAAATTAGAAAGAAAAGACTATACATACATACATATATATATATATAATATATATATATATATACACATATACACACACACACATATATGATGTTTGTGTATGTAAGTACATATGTAATTTTTAATTGCCTGAAAAACTCTTAGGTAAAAAATTTTAAATTTCAGTTACATTTTTATATTAAAATAGTGACAACGCAGATACTCTTTATCAAATGTTATGTTGTTCATATGGTGAACTGAACTTAGAGAACTCTAACTTCTTATACTTAAATACATTCATTATTAAACAATAAATGAAAACAGATGAAGAAAATACTCAAAGGAATTTAAAAGAGGTGATGCAGAATAAAACTGAGGAGCACAAAAGTATGGAATTCATAAAGATAAAAGCAGAAGTTAATTAATGAGATAACAGAAATACATCATATCTTAAACACCTTTCATAAACCTTGTAAGCGGTAACACAAGAAGTCTTTAGATACAAGATCTCGGGAACTAAGAAATATGTATATGGGACTTCCCTGGTGGCACAGTGGTTAAGACTCTGCCTGCCAATGCAGGGGACACGGGTTCTATTCCTGGTCCAAGAAGATCCCACATGCCGCGGAGCAACTAAGCCCGTGTGCCACAACTACTAAGCCTGTGCTCTAGAGCCCGTTGGCCACAACTACCGAGCCCACGTGCCACAGCTACTGAAGCCCGCACACCTAGAGCCCGTGCTCCGCAACAAGAGAAGCCACCGCAATGAGAAGCCTGCACACCGCAACAAAGAGTAGCCCCCACTCGCCACAACTACAGAAAGCCCACACACAGCAACGAAGACCCAATGCAGCCAAAAATCAAAAAATAATTTTAAAAAAGAAATATCTAAATCCATATCAACCAATGTTAACTTCACTTGCAAGGTGTGAAGATTTGCTAACAATAATGCATTATAGCTTCCATTTCTTGTTGAAATGGCTTACCGTCACCTCCTATGCAAGCCCAGACTGATGCTTAAGATTCAGAAATGCACTATTGCAGATACATCAAAAGATCTTCCTATGACGACATTGTTTTCTGTTGTGAAAATCTGTTAACAACCTAAATTCCAAAAAGGAGAGTCATAGTTTAATAAATTATTCCATTCTTATAATGTAATACTATGCAATCAATAAACTAGTACTGGGCTTCCCTGGTGGCGCAGTGGTTGAGAGTCCGCCTACCGATGCAGGGGACACGGGTTCGTGCCCCGGTCCGGGAAGATCCCACATGCCGCCGAGCTGCTGGGCCCGTGAGCCATGGCCGCTGAGCCTGCGCGTCCGGAGCCTGTGCTCTGCAACAGGAGAGGCCACAACAGTGAGAGGCCCGCGTACCGCAAAAAAAAAAAAACAAAAAAAAAAAACAAAAAAAACTAGTACCATAGAGTAATATCAAATAACTTGGGGAAGTGTTCTCAATATATTCAGATTCCAAAAAAGCAACTCAGAAATTGGACTGTAATCTCATTTATTTAAATACAGAAAGGGGGGGGCGAGGAGGGGAAACACCAGAAATTGTAGATGAAAATGTATAGTGGGGTTACTAGTGATCTTCTTTCTTTGTGCTTCCCTGAATTTTTTCAGTTCTAACATGAACTTATTACTTTTATATTCATGAAAATAAACCATAAATGTTACATTTTTAAAAATGCCTTCACCAATATTTCATAGGACAAAGAAGCCAGGTATAGCAATGTCACAATTAATCATTCATGTATTTAAGAAATATTTATAAGGTGTGTCCTACGTGCCAGGCAAGTATTTAAGAAATATTTATAAGGTGTGTGCTACATGCCAGACACTGGAGATACAGGAGTATCAAAGCAACGTAAAATCCCTGCCCTTTTGGAGTTTGCACTTTAGAGAAAGGGAGAGAGAGATAATATGCCAGTATAAGTATATATGATATCTTCTGGTAATAGTGTCATAAAGAAAACATAGCAGCATAAGGATAAGGAGTGATAGAGAAGGCTGTTTATAGGATGGAGTTGTTTTGCTTTTTTTAAATAGAAATATAGTTGATTTACAATATTGTGTTAGTTTCACGTATACAGCAAAGTGATTCAGTTATATATATATATATTCTTTTTTCAGATACAGCAAAGTGGTTCAGTTTTATATATATATATTTTTTTTTTCAGATTGTTTTCCATTATAGGTTATTACGATATAGTGAATGTAGTTCCCTGTGCTATACAGTAAATCTCTGTTGCTTATCTATTTCATGTATAGTAGTGTGTATCTGTTAATCCCATACTCCTAATTTATTCCTCCCCCCTCCCTTTCCCCTCTGGTAACCATAAGTTTGTTTTCTATGTCTGTGAGTCTGTTTCTGTTTTGTATATAGATTCATTTATATTATTTTTAGATTCCACATCTAAGTGATATAACATTTGTCTTTCCCTGTCTGACTTGTTTTGCTTTTGCTTTTCTTTCAGAGAAGAGTGTCTGAAACAGAACATTTGCAACTCTGTTATTCTTAATGTCTTTTGTCTCCCAACAGGAACTGGTGATAATCTATGATCTACAAACTCAAAACAGACTTCTAGTTACTGATGCTTGTCAGACACCTGTATTTTAATTTTAATACCATGACTAAAACGAGGGAAAGCAAGGGGGAATCCACAGGTAGAGCAGATGAAACTCGAGTGCTTAAAAAAAAACAAAAAAAACCCACCTCTGATTCTTTTGGCTTTTTTTTTTTTTAAATGATTTTAAACCACTTTTATTTATGCTGCTTTCAAGTTCCCCTGCCTAGAGCAGGAAGCTCCACCCAGACCTACTGAAGCAGAATTCTTGTTCCAACAAGCCCTCCAGGTGATTCTGATAGATGCTAACGTCAGAGAACCACTGCGTTAGAGACAGGCTGAGTGCAGATCCTTGGAACGCTGGTATTCCACTTTTGATTGTCACAACAGCTGCTGATTCTGACTATGAAGTATCTTCTGATTGAATGGGTTTATATTAACTGTGCCAATACTGAAAATCATACCTTTGGAAACTATTCTTCCAAATTCAATCAGTTCAAATGTCAAAAGAACTTCACAGAACAGATTAAATCATCACATTCTTCTTTAAACAAAGCATGCAAAATGCCAACATAAGAAATGTACAAAAGTTGTAACCCAACTATACTCCAATATAAAATAAAAATTAAAAAAAAATTAAGAATGAAAAAAAGAGAAATGTACAGAAGTGAGATTAAAGGGTGATAGTGGTGGACCTTGAACCTTACTTGTTGACCTTCCCAAGCCCTAAATCCTGCCCCTTCTCCATCCCTACAGCAGCCCCCAAGGCACCTCTCTGGAGTTTCTGCAGGATACACTTTGAAAATCATTTGCTCTTAGACTAGTCATCTGGCCCTTAATTACATATTGCCTTGGCCTTGCATCAACTTCTCAGGTTTGATAATTTCCTAGAATCGTTCTTGCAGAACTCAGGGAAACACTTTATTACATTTATCAGTTTATTTCAAAGGCTACAACCCAGGAACAGCCAGATGGAAGAGATTCAAAGGACTAAGTATGAGGGGTGTGGGGGAGGTACATGGGGCCCTCATGCCCTCTCTGAGGGGCCACCCTCGCTGAACCAAGAGGCATCACCCACGGGGAAGTTCTCTGAACCCTGTGATTTAGGGGTTTTTATGGAGGTTCCATTCTGTAGGATTAGATCGATGAACTCCATCTCTGGATGTCCAGAACCTCTTTCCTCTCTGGGGCTCAGAGTTCCAACACTCTAATCACATAGTTGGTTCCTCTAGCAACCAGCCCCCATCCTGAAGCTACCTAGAGATCCACCAAGCGTCACCGTCACCGTAGTAGCATAAACTCAAGTATGGTTGAAAGGGGTTTGTTATGAATAACAGAAGACACGCATCATCTCTATCACTCAGGAGATTCCAAGGGTTTCAGAAGATCTGCGTCAGGAACCATTGACAAAGACCAAATATATAGTTCTTACTGTAATACACTTCTTATACTTTCATTTTGTTATTTTATCATTGCTTTTTGTTTAAGTTTTAAGCAGGCTGAGTCCTTTCAAGAATGAGGCAGAAAAAAAAAAAAAAGAATGAGGCAGGAAAGAATATCATGAAGCACAAAATAACATAAAGAGGGCATACAGAGCAGACATATAATCAAAACCAATATAGCCAGCAACACTACAGCCAGGAAACTAAAGGCATGGGTTCTGTGTGCAGTGTATTTCTTGTATTTTCCATAGTTCTTGTATTCTTCCGTGTCAACTAAATGGAAGAAGGAATACAACTGGCACACAGAAGACATAGCCCAGCAAGGTGGCAATGAGAGTTAGCAGCTATTCACATGGTTTTCAATTTTTTTTTGAATCAAATAGGACCATTATTTTTCTCCAACGGACCTCATGTTTAGGAAGATTTTATCCACTAGACTAACTTACTAAGTAATAAATTATTTCTCCAAATTTTTGCCAATGTAGATATAGATCATGCATTCTCAGTGAGGGCAGAAATTGGTTTTTATGGAGTGGCTGAAAATATCTTACTCTTTTTATATATAAAGCACAGATATATAGATACATAGAGAGATATACACAGTACATAAAAACATACGTAATATATCTACGGTATTAAAATGTCATAGGAGGGTGGTTAGGAACAAAAATATGTCTAAAAAAATTTGTTGGGGGATAACGAAAAAAAAAGGTAACGATGCACTCATATAAATGACTTCCAATCAGAAGATTTGATCTGTGAGAGCTTACCAGTATTATCACACTCAGTTGGAATTTTAGTCAAAAGTAAATAAATGTCATATCTCAGCTTGTGGGTAAATGTCATCGTTCATTCAATAGTGAGCACTTTGCCAGGCAGTGTTCTAGATGCTAGGAATACAAAAGGATAAAAGAGCCCTGTCTTCATGGAGCTTACGTTCTGGTCAGGAGAGATAGTACACAAACGGATAAAAATATGTATAATATATCAAACAATGATACGGTATTACAAGAAAAATAGAGCTTGACGGAGAGAAAGGGTGTGCGATTTCATATAAGGTGAACGGTTAGAGAAGTTTCTCTTTGGTACAATGACATTTGAGTTGAGTCCTGAAGGCTTCGAGGCAGAAACTGTTGGGATAACAAGGGGAAGAATGTTCCAGGTAGAAAGAACAGAGGTTCAAAGGACCTGAGGTAGGAGTGGGCTCCCCTTGTTGGAAGTATAATGAAGAGGCTAAAGGAGTAGGAATAGAATGAACAAAGGGAAGGAATGGGAGATGGGACCAGAGTAGCAGGTAAGAGGGGAGGTGGGGTAACAAAATCCTATCACTGAGTAAAATAGGAAGCCTGTGAAGGGTGTGAAGAGAGGAGCTCAGGATATGATTTCCATCTTCAGAGGTTGGCTACCTTGTAGAGAACAGACCTTAGTTTGGTGAGCATGGAAGAGAGGAAATCAATTGGAAGGCTACTGCAGTAGTCCAAGCAAGAAACGGTGGAGACTAGCCTAGGATAATCAGATTTGGGATATATTTTTACAATATGCTCTTCTGAAAAATCCAGAACAGCTCAATGTCCCCATAATAAAAGTTTCCAAATTGGGAACTACAGGATTATCCCAAAGTCCTAGGTCTTATTTGGGGGGAATCTTTGGTAATTTTTCAGGTTGGCAAAAAATAAATCGGCAAATCTCACATTTTCTTTCATAGGAAAATTTTGTTTGTAGCTGGATCGAATTACTATTTGGACAAAAAGTGGCTCCTGTTAAAAGACAAGGTTTGTATATTTTGTTACACAGATGTCTTTTATTTTGGAAGCTGTCAATATCTCCTTAATTGCAAGTGGTTTAAATTGGTGTAACTTGCTATATCATGTAGCTTTTGAAGTGCATTTGTATTTCCAGAGCTCAGAAAGTACATAATGAGCATTAATGAGTCTTCCTAGGCAATTTTTAAAGTTACTTCTGGCATTGATCAACTGTTATGCTTATTGTGGTGAAACTTTCTTCCAGATAAAACCCACGTTTGGCTCTGAAGTCTGTTTTCCAATAGCTATTAATCAATTTTGCAAGCTGCCTCAAATTCTTTTTGGTGAAAGGCCGTCATAAATAAGTAAAAATAATCATTGGTTAGTCCGGAGGTGGGGAAGTACAAGCTAGTATACGTGCAAGGCAGCAGGACTGGGACATATTCTACATACAGGAAAGATTGATTCTTCTCTGTGGTTATGTGGGTCATACCG